AGTCGAAGAGGGAAGGTTTGAAGATGAAGAAAGAAGAAGTGGGTTGGTTTGTGACCAATGTGTTCGTAATTATAAGTATTCTAAGCTTTCAAGTACTACATCATATCTCAGATTTTAGGTTCACCAGTGCTGACGGTCTTCCAGGTTACAAGCTATTATTGGTGGTAGTCCGGGTCCGGGATCGGAAACTTGAGGATTTGTTGATCTTCGGCCCACAACTTGAAGTTTTCATACAGGGTGTTCGTAAGCTGTCAAAAGCCTCTGCCGTTGATGTAAAGATATCAATTGGCGCCCAAAAAACCTTTCTTAGCATTATGACGAGTAAATCGAACAACACCCAGAGTCCCAGAGCCGCACTAGGCAGAGCCAACCCAAGATAGGTACCATTCTCCCACCAGTAGCGCCGATTTTCCGGACTATCCGGGATGTTCAAACGGAGCGGTCTGAATGCCGCGTGTGCACGGTTGCTAGACAAGTCAGCAGTGGAATCTCAATCAGTCGGTGAGACCTTGGGAGCCCTGCTGAAACAGACGCCATGTGCCGGGTGCCGGTTTTTCTACCATGTAGATTGCGGTAGGCAATAGCCAATTGCCGGCATTTCTTAATAAAGGGCCCGATGACGAAAAGAACATATTTCAATATCAATGGGAGACTGCCAGAGCAGCATAACTTGCATACATCTCCCCTGCTTCTTAACCAAAAGAATATCATTTACCATTCAGCACTATAGTTGCTCAATCTAATATATACATTGAAGCGAATAGAAGCGGGGCGTAGCCCGAGAAGCGGCCTGGTCACTCAGGGTGAGACTCCAGCCATGAAAGGAACTCTGCCTCCTCGTCTGTTAGTAGTGAGATCTCACGGGCAGCAACGTGTTCCTCATCATCAGACTCGCTGTCATCGGAAGATGTGCTATTCGTCGAATGCTCGCTTTCAAAACTTTCCTCGTCGTCCGACTCAGCCGAGTTTTGTTGTTTGACGATTGGTGTAGGGGTAGCCGTGGCTGATGAAGGGCTTCCTGCACTAAAGCATGCAGTCCCGGTGGGCTGCGCCCAAGCGGTTGTCTTCCCGTTCAACTGTTCCAGATCATTCCCTGGGTTTGGAAACTGAATATCGTAGTATTGAGGGGTAGAGCATCCGTTGTCAATATTTGCAATGAACATGTCCGGGAGAGTGTCGAAGAAGTCCTCGTCGCCTCCTGAGCCCGTCACGGTGAGAGGGCCGCAGTCCATGTACATTTCTCGATTCCCAATTTTGTTGAACCAGGTCCAAGCAATGACATAGTCTCCGGTCGCTAACTCTTCGGGGATCGTGAAGTTGTATGTATAAGGGTCCTCGGCAAAAGGGTCGTTACCCATGTTTCCCTTCTGCCCTTGAGCCGGACATCCACCTTCAATGGACTTGATGGTCTTCCATCTCGACTCACGGGTCGGATGTATGTCAGTAGTGATAGAAATCTGACAGGAGCCGCCACCATGCACGGCAGTGCCTTGCAACTTGAGTTTATGGGTGCTGCCCTGCGCATAGACATTCGACTCGCTACCATCCCCGGATGTTACTCCCCTGCAAGGGAAATCGGAACCGTCGGCTTCTAGGGGTGAATTGCTGGGGTTTGTGAATGCCACTGGATTCTCCATGAACATGTGGGCGCTTGTGGCGGCTGCCAGGCCGAAAATGGCGCAGGTCTTCGGAAACATTATCAAGAAGTTGGCTGTCGTAACACTCAATCGGTTCCGGATCGCTTCAAATAGGATAACAGAGAGATGTAGTAAAAAATCAATAATTGGCAAATGAAATCAAGGGCCTGCCTCAGCAAAGAAGAGAAGAAAGGGAAAATCAAAGGACCAGCCTCAGCGAGGAAAGAGGGATTACAGGATTTTCCAACATCTCGATGAGATTCGAGAATTGGAAGATTCGCGGAGTCCAACAGTCATTTGTACTTGATCTCAATCTACCCAGCCTCAATATCCTCGCTAACATGGATGGATCTAGAATGGGGTGCAATTAATCTGCCGCCCTAGTCACGTCGGGCGCAATATCGGTCCATGGGGAGCTTGTAGGGTTCTCATGGTGGCCCGTCAGTTCTTGGAAATCCTTCATTGGGGAGGCTATTTATATACATTAACTGCCTTCAAACCAGAAGGTCGGGGTTCATGAGAGATCATGTCCCGTGTCACAAGCTACCTTACAGAGAGATTGCGGTTTATAGCAGATTATTCTAATGTTTGTACTTCTAGAACGAAGGGCAATGAAAATGAAATTCGCTCATCAAGTCCGAGCCAGAAAGGAGGTTCCGCTTCAAGCGAGACCCAGGTATTTGCCAGCAACAAAAGCATCTCAAGCGCATCAATTCTCATATTTCGCCATTCGCTTGATAGGATGAGCTTTTCTAGATTAAAAAAAAATCGCAACCTTCTTGAAAACCCCTTAGAGCCTAGATTCACTTCGTTGAAAGGGAGTCTGATATTCACAACAAGATACCTTCATGTCAATGTCTAGGGAAGTGCCCTTAGCCTGGCTTAAAATAACTCTGGCTTGTGCCCCATATTCAAGGAAACATTCAAGGGTCTGAGTGTCAAATATATCTGATTGCCCTAAATCCGTATCAACGGACGAGGGTTTCGGGTTTGTCCAAATTCAGAAGCCACCGGGGCTTGGCAACAACTTATCAGGTTACCAGCAAGCTGATTAAGATAATCATCATAATAATATGTTCTTGCTTTAGATGAGCAGCCTCAACTTTTGACTTATACTAACATCAAGTAAACCGCGGTATATACGAAGTGATCCAAAATATGACAATTCTATCTTCGATCAATGACCAAATGCTCTCATTTCTCGGTTGTGCAAATGGGATTGTAAGCTGTCAGCTAAACCTAAACTGAAACAAGTAGGTGTAACAAAATAAGAAAAGGAATGCTTTGCTTAGCCAATTTGGTTTAAGATAGGGACTGGATTGGAAGGAACTGCATCTGCTGACAGGCCCCAAGAATCACACAACTCCCAGTCAAAGTCTGTCAGGGATAGTATATAGCTTTCTCGTTAGGATTAAAAACATCAAATTGTTCTTCATGTAAGTTGACGCTTGTGATCAATCAGGTGTTCTCGTTGCCTTCAGTTTCAACTACTAACAGGATTTCCCAAAATCCCCAATATCCTCCCTTTCAGATCGCTTCGTTTGTATGTCCGTCTGGTTTCAGTATTCATCGTCAGACATCCTGAGCATTATATAGTGTATCTTCGCGAGTTGCCCGCGGAGAACATGATGCTTCTTCCACGAGGCAAGTTTTTCGTCTTTCATTATCAATTCGCCACTCAGGATATGGCACGACGATTAAAAAAAGACCAGTCAAAAGATGATATTCTATATCGATGAGCACGGGCTGACCCGGACCAGCTTCGTTTCCTAGGGTGATGATCACGACAAGATCTCAGGCCAGAAAGTGGCTGACACGTCACGCTCATCTTTCAATGCTTTGTCAATCCCCATGTTGCACCACCGCCGTTAGGGGATCCCCAGGTTCAGCGTAGCATTGTCCATATTCACGTCCAGCCAGCTCACCTAACATCGAGGAGTTCAAAGGAAAAGAAACAGGACTCTCCTTTGTGATTGGCCCCTACCTCGATAAAACCCCTTTTCCTTGCACTCATTTCCCTGCGTGTCCATGAGAAATGTACGGCTGAAATCAAAGGCATAATTCAAAAGGCAGGGGGGTGGGCTTCTCCTACATGAGAAGAAAACATTTCAAGCCTCGCAATCGTCTGCTTGAATGAGGTTTTGCTCCTGCATACATACCCCAAAGCAAATTATGTCCGACATTCTCCTCCTTGCTGAAATTTGGTGGGTCTAAAAACCGAGCCGGACTTATCCTATTGGATCGGGTCACTCGCTGCAGGAAGTGAGGTGAGCTGGACGCGCTTCATCATCTGCAGGGGCATAGCAATGCGATGGAGATTCTGCTTGATCCGCATTGCTACACTGAGCTGGCAACTAGCCATCTTAATGAGCGAGGCAAAAACCGAGAGAAAAAGGAAAATGTAGCATTTTGCATAATGTGGCGTTTGCTGTAGTGAGCAGGGAGATATTGCCTCAATGCTTCATGAAAGAAGATAAAAGGACCTCCTCTCCTCGACCAAACTCTTAGTTTTTCTCATCATCACTTACAACTTCAACAATCCACTCTCATCAACCACTTAAAACCCCCCCGCTTTTAAAACAACCATCAACATGTCTGCCCCGTAAGCGAACACATCCTGCTCCTCTGCAGCTTGCCATCCATTGGTTGCTGCAAGAGAATGAATCTAGACACTAACCAACGGCCTACAGTGCCCAGTTCCAGGTTCCCCTGCCCACCGCCACCGGCCTCTCTGCCCCTGCTGGTATGTCAAGCCCTCCAGAAAGCCCATCTTCCCCCACAATCGACAAGAAGACTCATATCTAATCGTTCTCACAATCACAGGCCAGATCGTCAAGGGTGCTGCTGATGACAGCGGCAACCTCAAGGATGCCGCTCTCCTGCTCGGCATCAAGCTCGACCTCGAGGCCGAGGTCCACCTGACTGCCCGTGTCAAGGGTGACGTCGTTGTTGGTCTCTACTAGGTGTCTCCTGCAAGCAGCTGGTAGAGGGATCATGGATTGAGTCTGTCTCCGTTGAGAAAAGCAACCCATCAGCCACTGCTAGCCACTAGCCTATCTCTTAAAACTGAAATACCAAAAACATTTTATACTTCTTCACACTTTTTATTCCGGCTCAGATCCTGATTAATGAACCGTGAATAAACGGCTTGTGTCGCTAATATACTAGCTCGCAAACTATCCTCAATCACTCTGTCCAGCACACATTGGCCGAGATAGTCAACATGAAGACTTTCTAGAACCTTACCCGAAAGGTCCCATGTCATTTATGATAGTTTGGTATAGTAACGGTATACGGATATTGATACAGTGAATTTAGTAAGGTTATACCAGGTATTTGGAGCATCCCAAAGTAACAGCATTCTTAGAGGCCAAGACCCATCCAAGCTGAGGCAAGAAGACCGGTGGTTAACAGAGCGACAGACAGCCCCATTCCCTTACCAGCAGCTCCTTTATCAGTTGACGACGAGGCCTGCGATGATCCAGAAGTCTGCGATGGCGAAGATCCAGTAGACTCAGTTGCATTCTCCGATCCCTTGCTCGGCCCAGATGCATCTGCAATGAGGAGGTTCGAGATGGCAGCCAAGGCATTCAGCCGCTCGCCAATACCAGATGACTTAGGCCCCTTGGCATTGGTGTCGTTCCAGGAGAAGCTGCAGCTGGAGCTGGTGCACGACTTGGCAGCGGCCTCGGCCGACGACTTCAGAACAGGGAGGATCTTGTCAGCGGTGAAGGGAGCGAGCTGGCTGACGGCGGCGAGCCAGCGGATGGTGATACCCTTAAAGGTGACTTGGTCGACGGTGCAACGGTCGCCAGTCTCACAGGCAGGCTCGGAGGCGATGCCACTGGGGAAGAACTTGCTGAGGATGGAGTCGGTGAACTTTTGAACGCGGTCTTGCCATTTCTTCTGGTCATCGCCGGTAGTCTGTTGCGCAAGATATGTCAGCTAATATTTCACATCGTACGAGGGGGAGGAAGAGGCCCGTACCTGGTTGTACATGTAGGCAGCGCCATTGTTGAGGATGGCGGCAACATAGGACCATTCCACCTTGTCAACGTTGGAGCAGTTGCCCTTGGAGACGGTCGTTCCGTCGTAGACCGCTCCGGTTGTTCCATTGACGAGGGCAGACTTCTCGAGCCAGTCATATGCCGCAACAACCGTCTTGGAATAAGTGGTGTTGCCGGTGTGTCTTGCAAGACGAGCTCCAAGGTCGAAGAAACAGCCGTTGGAGATGCCTTTTGAAGCAGAAGAGTGAGCATTCAAACTGACCATCAATGGGGTGGGAGAGTTCACATACTGTTCTTGTAGTCCCAACCGGCATTGAAGGTGAAGATTTGCCATCGGAGACCGCCACCACACGTGTCGGAAGCGGCCTCGAGACGCTGCGCTTGGTCATTGAAGACGTTCTTGGCCAATGTGAGCCACTGAGGCTCATCCGAGGCAGGGCTGGTGAAGTTGTTCTCCGCAGCCTGCATGGCAGCCAGGGCCCAGAAGCACTGGTCGTCATTGCCTAGGTTCTTGGACTGGTTGGTGGGCATGAAGTTGTCCTGGGCTCCGACTTGATACAAAAGGCCCTTCTTGACCGCATCGTTGTAGGTGGAATCGCCGGTGAGGTGCCAGTAATCGACCAAAGTACTCATAAAGGTGCCGCTCTCATAGAAGTAGTACTCGTCGGACAGCAGACCAGGAATCTCGCCCTTGTTGTATTCGTCCATCAGGCTCTTGGCAACGGTGCCGGCCGACTTGAGGATGTTGTCACGGCTGTCCACTTTGAGGCTGTCATCGGCTGCAGCCACCATCAGGGGGCTGCAGGCCAGCGACGCCAAAAGTACTGAAGCGAGTCCTCTGCCCATGATTGCGATGAGAAGTAAAATGAGAATTGAAACGAGAGTGGAAAAGAAGGCAAAAGAATGCCACACTTTCAAACGAGTGTGTCTCTACGAGCAACCCCGCGGAGCGAGAAGAGAATACGAGGTATTAAAGATTATTGATGAGTGAATGATGAGAAAAACAAGTTACTGAAGCCCCAGCACAGGGAAATCAACTGGGAAATCAACCAACAGCGCAAAGACCACTGAAACCCGTGCCGAAGGATTCAGCCAAGGAGATCCCCATTGGCCCATGCGTACTCGAGCCAATCAAAATGAATCGTGGGCAAATAGCGGAGATTGTAAGCACTTATACACGCTTGGCACAATGAAATTGAAACCCCTTTGGTGGCTGTGCTGTTGAAAGGCCTTTGCCAATTCTGATACCGAGGCCAATAATTGCCCTCATCGCCTCAGTGGATGAAACGTGATAGCCAGTAACAGACACAATTACCCCAGACTTGAAGGATACGAGGTTTCAATGCTATACGTAACGCATCTTTACGTCGCATACAATACGATGAGCTCATCATCTGGTATTAGTTCCTTATAAAATATGTCCGAAGTTCCTTACTTTTGGCCAAAACAGCCGATGCGGAAATCCAGCGCTTAGTTATAAAGCATACATCATGCTTCGGGTTGAGCGCATAACGTGTCAATTTATTTCAAGAGCCAAAAGGTATCGAATTGGAAAAGAATCAAAAGCAAATTGTGAGAATTTCGATTTTGCAATGTTCATAGACGTAGAGAGGGCATATAATGCACGACCTGGGTAGTCTACCCTTTCGCTAGGTATTTACAGTGTAGACACTGGTAAGATCAATAAATGACTAACCGATGATTGTATGCATCACGAGACTATGCAGCTCAAAATAAGCCGTTACTTTCGCTTTTATTCCCGTATTATTGAGTGTTCATTATTATCATGCACATACTGATGATCATAATGACTTCACACTTATGCGTCCACAAAATGAAAAATGGTTGGTCTATAATGATAAGAAGTTGTACTTATGTCTAGATTACACTTTAAATGCCGACCTATGAGTTGTTCCTTCACATTAAATTACGATTCAACAGCATTGTAAGAGAGGAACGCGGTTCAGAGCCTGTCTGAACGACTGAGAGATCTGTAGTATGGCGAGTATAGGGTAGCTGATCGGCTCGGGTGTGATACCCGTTTTGTCTCATTCAAGGCAACATTCCGTCATCATGCCTTGATTGTTTCTTAAATTCGGATGCTTCATGCCTCCTCACTCATTCTGTATCCTTCATACGATAATCCTGCATGGTGCGTGGCTGCCTTAGATACCTTATATCACCCAGAAGGCAAACGATAAATAGAAGCCCGACGCGTGCAAACTCCCTCTGACCGCATCATGAAGCTATTCCAGACCATTGCGACATGGTGGCTCTCCACGGGGCTCGTCCTCGCTGCTGAGCCTAAAAAACACGACATATCTGACTTTGACTGGTCGGTGCTTGAGCCATCCGCGAAGTTGGAATATCAGCCCTGCTATGATGGACACAAGTGCGCCAAACTGCAGGTTCCTCTGGATTGGCTCAACCCGTCGAACCCTGCGCGCGTCACATTGGCAGTCATTGCGCGCCCTGCCGCGGTAGAAGAGAATGATCCCTCGTTTGGTGGGACAGTCTTCACGAACCCAGGCGGGCCGAGCGCCTCGGGGATCAAATTGGTGCTGGATCTGGGCGAGCAGACGCAGAAGATCCTGGACGGCAACAAGAAATATGAGGTCCTGTCGTTTGACCCGCGGGGCGTCGGTTTGAGCACCCCGAACGCAGATTGCTTTCGGGACGAGTATACACGGAATGCGTATCTCCTCGAGGATCGGTTACTGGGCAAGCCCGATTCCGCGCCAGAAATACTCAAGAGAAAGTTTGCACAGGCCGCCATGGTGGGCAAGCTGTGTGAGGCGACAGATGCTACTGAGAATATCCGCCAATTCATGTCTACAAGCAGCGTTGCTCGAGACATGGTTCAGATGGTTGATATACTGGCTGAGATGCGTAATGAGACAGTCACACGAGACGAAGCTGTCGAGGACGTCCAGATACCGTTGGGCTCTCGTAAGAATGCAAAGCAGACAGAGACGCCTAGAATCCAGTACTGGGGATTCTCATATGGGACCGTGCTTGGCAATACATTTTCAAGCATGTTTCCTGGTCGCGTTGGACGCATGATCCTCGAAGCGGTCGAGGACCCTGTTGATTATTACAATGCGGTGAGTGTGCTTTATTCTTTGCGAAACAACTACAAGTGAACTAATTGCCACATCAAGACTTGGATTCTGAACTTGAAAGACACCCAGAAGGCCCTCGACCATCTCTGGGATACATGCTTCGAAGGCGGTACTCGCTGCCCTCTATATGACCCAACAGACAAATCCCCAGCAGACATTGAAAGAAAAGTCCGAAACCTCATGGATCGATTGGATAAATCCCCGGAGGTCTACATCTCCCCTGACACCGTTACCACCATCACCAAGCAAGACATCATTTTCAGAATCTTCGTCCCGCTTTACAACCCCATGGACGATTTCCCAGATATCGCGGCGACATTGGCCGATGCTCTGGCTGGGAACTTCACCCGACTTGTCCAGCACCTCAAGATACCCAAACCGACCGATAGCTGCCCCTCGCGCCAGCCCAGCGCGTACACATATCCCTGGGTCAAGGAGGCGCAGCACGCCATTGCCTGCGGTGACGGCGCGTCCCAGGTGGACATAACCATTGAAGAATTCCAGGAGTACCTCAGCGTGCTCAAGAAGGACTCACCAGACTTCGGCGGCTTCTGGTCTGCCATCCGCCTCACTTGCTCCGGCTGGCGTATCCGAGCCAACTACACCTTCTCGGGGCCATGGGTCACACCCAAGCACGACCCAAGGGGGGTGGACGGCAAGCCGGCGGCTCCTCTGTTGCTGGTTTCGAGTCTCATTGACCCTGTTACGCCGCTGGCGAACGCGTATGAGGTCGCCAAGGGACATCCAGGGTCGGTGGTGCTGATTCAGGATAATGTCGGGCATGGGACTATTGAGACGCCGGGGAAGTGTAGGGATGAGTTCATCAGGGCGTACATGGAGACGGGCGAGCTACCGGACAAGAAGGATGTGTTTTGCAAGGCAGACTGTAAACCATTCCAAAAATGCCCTGGGCGTGAAGCAGGGTCGAGCTCGAGGTCGGTTAGATCCTATGAGCTGTAGAGGGACAAGACATAGAACATGCACGTAAGAGGTTCATGCTAGTATTGTCTCTTTTATTCTTCACAGGACCGGCAACTGAAACCTTGAGGAATAAATTCACTCAGAGGGGCCTCGAGAATGGTATTAAATTTAACCGACTAGCCAATATGCGTTCCTGGCCAGATCATATCATACATGTACACAATCAACCGCTTAGTAAAGTCCAACAACAACATCACCCTTGACACGGGCAGTCAGGTGAACCTCGGCCTCAAGATCAAGCTTGATGCCGAGGAGAGAGAAGCATCCCTGAGGCTGCCGTCCTCGTGGGTGGCACCCTTCAGGAGCTGGCCTGTCATTCAAAATGATTAGTGACTGAATGAATAAGCTGAGTGACAGTAATAGTAGACTTACCAGCAGGCTGGGAGAGGCCGGTGGCGGTGGGAAGGGGGACGACAAGACCATGCTGGGCGCTGGAGTCGGAGGTGCGGGCGATAGCACTAGGAATGAGCGTGGTTAGTTGGAGAAAACTGTTCCTGGTGTGCCAAGGGTCCAGATTGTTAGAAGGACCCGTCGGGTGAAGACTCACGCAGGAGCAGACATTTTGAATGAGCTGGTGGAGGACTGGCGAGAGAGTTGTTGGGTGAAAGAGTTGATCGTTGGTGAGTAGTGAGGCGGTGGAATGAATTGATGAGGAGAAGGTGGCTCTGTTGACGAGCTCCTCTCGAGCTTAAGTACAAGATCTTTGACGGAGGGAGGCATTGACCATGATTTCAAATTTTCGTCTGGTGCAACTCTGCTGTTGGCATTGCCACGTCTCCTGCATGAAGGGGCGAAAAAGAATCGAGAAGGGACCGGGCCAGACCAGGCCGGCAGAGGTTGGATGGAGGGGCCTGCTCCCCTTGAATGAGAGTCGGCGTCGAGCAAATACTTGGGGGGCCTAAATTAGCCGGCCCCCTACCTTCGGTAGGGGGGGTCAGTAACTAGTGAAAAAGATAGCGACTTGTAAAAAAATAAGTAATCTAGTGTACCTGCTAAATTAGGAGGTAGTATAGGTACTAATATTTAAATAAATATCCCTCTTTTACTATAACCTACTCTACTATACTATATAATATAGCCCGCCTTATTATAATACTAAGCTAACTAGTTATTCTGTATTTTAATATATATCTCTTCTAATATTAAAACTTTAGATTTACTTTCTTTAAAGCTAAATATACTAATTCTATCTATTTCCTATAATAGTATACTTTTCTTAACTTTATAATTACTTTCCTTTATAATAACTAGTTTAATTATAGTTATAATATAGGATTTATTATAGACTATTAGCTATATAAATAACTCTAACTACTATAGTTAAAAATCCAGCTATTTATATAGTTAATAATTTAAAGTATATACTTAACTTATTAACTCTATTAAATTAAGAAAGGCTTATTTATCTTACTTATAAAACTATTATTAAGGGATAAGATTATCTCCTAAGAAGCCTATATTATTAGAACTAATAATCTTTAATTCCTTATAATCTATCTCTATTATATTCTTTTGAATAAAGCCTCTAATAATATAAAGCTAATACTATAGGAAAGCCTCTTTATTATAAATAGCTTTCTATTTAATTTACTATACCTTATCTTCCTATATAGTATAGTAATTATAATTATCTATTACTATATAGCTTTAAGTATTACTAGTAGAGATAGGTCTGAATCTAGCTATAATATATCTCTTATTATATAGCTTTTATCTAGTTAATATCTTCTCTTTATAATAGTAAAGCTTATTAGAAGCTATAATACTGTTTAACTTAAGAGCCTGGCTGACCTTATAGACCTTCTAATAGGTTTATTATACTGAAGGTATTAGTAGCTAGCCTGAGTTAATTAAGAGGTTAATTTAAAGCTTAATATACTGATAATATTACTTAATTATAGGGATACTAAAGGTTAGTATTAAGATCTCTTTCTAATTGTAATACGCTGTTTATTATAGTATTATAATAATAGCTAGCTGTTATATATTTAGCTATAACTCTTCTAAATCTAAACCTTCTAATAAGGAAGAATCTTTATTAGATAAAGAATCTTTATCTCTATCTCTAACTTTATCTCTAACTTCTATATAGCCTAGAAGTAAGGCTTTATTAATATTTAGGGTTAGAGATAATAGAGGGTTTTATAGTATATCTAAGATAATAAATAGATTATATAGAAAGAGTCTATATTACTATTATACTAAGAGAATAGTTAACTTTTTAAATATATAATTATATATTTCTTAAAGATAGAAGAAGAAGTTAGTTTTATTAAAGTTATAGGTACCCTCTGTAATCTTTTAATATAATACTTCCTAGTACTAGTACTTATATAGGCTAAAAATACTAATATTATAAGGCTGAAGATAATATATTAAATTTAGTAGTAGTAGAAAGAGGGTAATATTATTAAGATAATAATACTTAATAAATTTATTAGTAAGATAATATTCTTAGTTATCTATTAATAAGATCTGGATTTCCTTAGGGTTATTAGGCTTTATATATTTATTAAAATACTTAATCTATTCTAAAGTAATTATATTAGTAATATATCCCTTTATACTTATAGAAATAATAGTATTTTAATTAAGGTTATTCTGAACCTATTTAATAGGAATCTGAATACTAGGAGTAATAAGGAAAGGAGGAATAACTATCCTATCTGCTAAGATATAGTTAATACTTATAATTATAACTTTATTATATAAATCTATTAATACTAACTATTTAATATTAAGAAAGGTCTAGATAAAGATATCTTTTTTAAGATATTCTATTATAAAGCTGGTCTTATTAAAATTCTATATATTTAACTGCTTAATATAATAGTATAATAGATAGCTCTAGAAGTAGTTAAACTAACTGGTTAAGATAGCCTGTTTTTAAATACTCTTTCTCTTTATATCTTATAAGAGAGCTTTATAAAGATAGAATATAGTTCTATACTTCTTTATAAAGTAATTATACTATTACTTAGAAGCTATAGCTTCCTTCTCTAAAGCTTACAGAATAGTATTAATATATTAATAAAGCTAGTAACCTTAAATATAGAAGCCTATAAGGATCTAGCAGTAAGCTTATATAATTATAGCCTTTATCTGGGCTTTATTAAGGAGAGTATTATACCCTCTATTTAAATTAATACTTAGATAACCTTAAATATAGCTTTAAAGATAATAATATAGTACTCTGAACCCTTTACTTATAGCTATAATTATTTTATAATAATAGGTATAGAAGAGTTCGGCTATAGTAATAGTATACTATTTGAGGTTCTTAGGTATAAATTATAAGAAAATAGGCTTTTTTAATATAGGATTAATCTATCTTAATATAATATTATTATTATTTAATTCTGAATCTAATACTATTTTTTCTGAATTTTAAAGTTAATTATTATATTATTAATTACAGAGTTATATTAGATAATATATTATAGATCTATTATATAAAGTAAAAAATTATTATATTAGTATTAAATTAATAGGGTAGGCTAAGGATATAAGCAGGATATATATTAAAAAGATAGTATATATACTATATATTAAATTTAGCGGGTGTACTAGGTTACTTTTTTTTTTATAAGTTACTATCTTTTTCGCTAGTTACTGACCCCCCCTACCGAAGGTAGGGGGCCGGCTAATTTAGGCCCCCCAAGTATCCGGGGATGAGATGAGATGGGCTGATGTGAGTGGATGGCACGGCGATTTGCGAGGACGATTGCCGAGGTGGATTCGATGGAACTGACGAGTCGGCAGACGACAGCGCAGACCTTCGGAGCGATACGGCTAGGAAAAGGAGAGAATAGGGTGGTGATTGTAACACTGGGCGCCTATTTCTCACTCACTGACAATGCGGATCAAATATCCTTGATGGCGACGAGGGTAGGGGAGTGGTGTTGGTGGGATGGGGGAGCTAGACGCATCGCCAGCTCACGACGAGCGGTTACTATCAGGGGAACAAGAGTGGACGAAAAGGGTTCACAGTTCGGCATGTGTGGGAATGTCTTTTATTAGAATGTACATGAGACAAACAGGTAGCTGATTGCATACGCAGTTCTTGCTGCAGTCCCACCGGGAACAGGAGAACTGCGAGTCTCTGGGCAAGTAGACGAGATTGTGCATGATACATTGGCATTGCGCCGTGTTGCGGGAATAGATTCACTAGCGACGGCAGAGCCCAACCCTTGCGTGAGACGGTGATTCCCATTGGCCCCTATTGTGCTCACCGGGAAGAATTACTCCTCATTCATGCGACAAGCTTCGCGGGAACCAACGTGTGTGCTGTTCAGTGGGGTAGATTGTTTATGCAAGAGAGTCTATGCCACCATGCGGGAGAAGAATTGGATGATTTGCAGCTTTCATCAGCTGGTTGTGTGGGGTTGTGGAAATGGAAGTGGCTATATTATATCTCAGCTATAGGACATCTCCGAGTACTAGATTGATCTCGATTGCTTTCTGCTCTATCCGAGTTATTGCTTTGGTGGGAGGGATCTGGAAGAGAGAAGGATACAGTGGAGGGAAGATGGATCTTGATTTTCGATAGCGTCCAACCGGAAAAGAAAAGAAAAAGCAAACTCTGCAGAGGGGCTTAACTGAAGGGAGAAAGCAAAGAGTTGCCTCCCCAGACCCAGTCATATGCAGCTTCTGGGATCAAGCATCTTGGATGTTTTACCTGTCTTCCGGATCTGCCCGCTGATAATAAACAACCAAAACAAACCGGCATTGACGAGCTCTCCCAGAGGAGCATCCCGAAAAAAGAAAGAACCGATCGAGAGTTTGGCATATGATCCATCCTCCATCTACACCGTATGCTTCGAGTCACCAGCACACTTGTGAGAGTCTACCGCCTCAGCCCGTGCAATCCGCCATGAGTCAAATTGGGCTCTGATCCTGTTCTTGCTGCGCGGGTTGAGCGAGGTCTTCACTCTGCGTGGCAGCTCGTCTTTGAGGGCGAGAGTAGCTGCGGCCACTGCAGCCGCCTTGGTGTTGACGGTCAAGGGATCCAAGTTGACATTCCCAAAGACATCGCACGCCAGATGGTAGCAAGGATCCGCGGGGATTCCTCCACCTGTTTGCACTCCCGACGATGCGATTCCCAGGTTTAGAAAGCCAACATAGTCGGAACCGGTGCCAAAGCTACCGAAATATGCTGGCTTGTCTTTGGACACGAGGTAATCGAGAAGGAGCTGCGCGCCAACCTTGTCGTCTGGATTGTCCCCGACATAGATGCCATACACGGGCACAGGGGAGCCGATCATGTCATAGTTGAAGTAGAACCGAATCTTGTCGGCCTCCTCGTCGCTCAGGTGGGATGTATAATACAGCGAGCCGACGAGTCCAGGCTCTTCCGCCCCCCACCATGCGAGGCGTATCTTATTCTTCAGGCCGCGGAACTGACGGAGTGCCTTGGCGATTTCAATCTGCGCTGTCACGCCCGAGCCGTCGTCGTTGATGCCCGGGCCGGCGGGAACGGAGTCGAGATGGGCGCCAAGGATGATGATGCTGCCTGGGTCGCCCTCTTTGGTGTCGGCGAAGATGTTCCACGACTCGCGCTCCTCGAAGAATGAATCCACAAGGAGGGTCACTTTGAGGACCTCGCCGCCTGCAATCCTCGCGAACCAGGCCTCCCCGACCGCCAGTCTGATCATGCCAACGGGGACAAGAAGACCGATGTTTTCTGCGCTCAAGGTGCCCGTGTTAGGGGTGTTTTCGGTGTTGTGGACAAGGACGACACCGAGGGCGCCGTGGCTCTTGGCCAGTTTGATCTTGTCGGAGATGCTGCAGACGCCTCGCTTCACAAGCGCGAGCTTTCCGACGACATCGACGCCCAACCATTGATCCTCATAGCAGCCAGAACCTGTGGGCGCATTAGATGCAGGCACTCGACTCGTATTTCTTGCGCTACTAACCTCGGCTGTCATCGACGGGAAGGGCAGCAAGCTCGGCTGTTATGCCATCGGGGACTGGAGTGGCATGATTGTAGATGAGAGTATACACATCAACGTCCTCGCCATCGGGTCCGGTGAGGGCGATTTCGCGAGTCTCCTCGTAGGTGTGATTAAAGTACTGCTTCCAAATGTCGAAATCTGCATCGGGCCCCTCGACTCCGATCTGCTCCAGCAGGTAGTCAGACGAGGCTTTGTAGCCGGGCGTGCCGAACGCCCTATTCCCCTTGTTCTCAGCCCCGATGCGATCAAGATGCCACAGGTTGCTCTCAAGTCTGCAAGTGATATAAAGTGTCAGCTGGGGAAGAGATGACAAAATGCTCGTGTGTCATTACCCTTCCGAGGTGAGGGCTGCCTCGAGCTTCTCCGGTGTCAACCGATGCTTGCACGGCTCAGCTGCGAGGCCTTTCACGACCAACAGCGCCTGCGACACGACGGTGAGTGGCTTCATGACGGCTTGGTATGTCGATTGGATGTCGAACCAGACGGTTGATCCCAGGCTGGTTTTGCTGGCGCGGAGCACCGCATCGCACGACAGCTGACCCATGTTCGCCCTCCCCCTCACCTTGAATGTGTCCGCTCCAGTGCTCGCTGTCGACCTGCCGATCGCGGGCAGTACAGTGGTTTTTTCCGGGGCCTGATGGGTGATATCATTAGCCGAGAGTAGCTAGAACCGGAAGGTGTCCTGATAAGTGACGGTTCTGCAGATGCGCTGTAGCAATAGCAAGGAGGTTGGAGTGGAGAGTTTCTGCAGGCTGCCAATAATCACGAGGAAGCGAGCCAACCATTAGTCTAGATTGGAGATGGTCCAGACTGACCAGCCGAAAGCAGCAGCTATTTCAATCTCATTGTCTTGGCTTCTCCTTGGTCCCATTCGATGCCTGAGAGATCTTCTCACGCCAGAAACTCGGTGTGCAATTTTCACGACCGCAATCTCTCGTACTGAGACATGATTATGCCATCTTTCAGTGGCTGTCATCCCCACAGTGTCGCCATCGAAATCGAGCATCGAGGCACTAACCAGAGGGAAGACAAGGGTGGGGGAATCAAGTGAGACACGCTCCCTATGAGTTAACAACTGACTGTCTGGCTTCACAAGATATATACAAATTTATTAACAGGTAGTCTTGTTGAAAATTTCATTAAGCATTGTACAATATGCCTGGTTGACACTCAGTTGGAGTGATACAGTTTAGTCCACATTACCAAACCGCAAAGCCCTATTGATTGCATTTTGAAAGCTTCATTATATACCCATTAGGATGTCACTTCTCCATGGATTATTTCAACTCGCCCTGTGTGATGTCTACGAATAAGCTAAGCCCAAGGCTAAATTGGTGTTCGATTCATCCACGATACACGAGAAGATAGATATTTTTACAGGATTTGGTTCTCAAGTAGAATACATTCCTTATACTTCTGCTTAGTTCATCCTTTCATACCTTTGTTGACTATTGCTCAACTGATTAGAGCTTGTTGGTCCAAAGGCAACAGTCTTGAGATGTATAAACTCCTCAATGCTGTATCGCCCAAACCCGCTTCCGTATCCACTGGCTTTCCATCCAGTAACAGGGCCCGCCGCTTCAACCTGGTTGGTTTGGAGGTTGATCTGCACGTTACCGAAATCAAGACTCTTGGACATGTTGAGACCACGCTCCCAGTTGGTAGTATAAACGGAAGCAGACAGGCCACCCTCACGAGAGTTGGCCTCGAGAGTAGCCTCTTCGTCAGTGTCGACCTCGACGACGAACATGGTCGGGCAGAACCCCTCGTTGTCGTACAGGTAGCAGTCCTTAGGCAAGTTGATCAAGACCGAAGGAGTGAACGACGCCGGCCCAGTCCACTCGCTCTTCCCGGCAAGGAACTCGGCGCCCTTCTGGACAGCTTCGTCGACCCAGCCTTTGGCTCGCTCAGCATAGAATTTTGTGACGGCCGCTCCCATGGGCGGGGCGTTTGCAAGAGCAGCCCGGAGCAGCTCATAGAATTTATCCTTAACACCCCTCTGCACAATGATGCGTTCCGTCCCGAAGCAAAGCTGGCCGTGGCACGCGACGCACCCGGCGATGGCGTCCCGGGCAGCCTTTTCCAAGTCTGCGTCGTCAAGTACAATGAGGGGGCTCTGGTCGCCCAACTCCATGATGACCGGCTTCAAGTACTTTGCCGCCACGACACCAATCTGTTTTCCGACGGGAGCGCTTCCGATGAACTCGATCTTGGCGAGGGACGGGTGGGAAATGATTGCTTCTGTCACAGCAGGTGCCTCCGTACGCTCCGACATGATCATGTTCACCGAACCTGGAGGGAACCCGGCCTCCAAGAATGTCTCAACGAGGTGGTAGTGAGTCCAGGGACAGAGCTCAGATGCCTTTAAGACAACCGTACATCCCGCAGCGAGCGCGGCGGAGATGCCTCGGCAAGGTAGAGCGAGCGCGCCGTTCCATCTGCCAACGTCGTTAGAAAGTTGTGTCTGATCTGTCCAGTCTCTTCGATTTCGACTTACGGCATGATTAGGAGAACAGCTCCAACAGGTTCCTTGAAGACCATCTGGTGGTTACCCGTCAGGGTAGGAGTGATCTCGCCGACGAGAGTGGTTTTCATGGCACCAGCGATCTCGCGGCAGATCTTGGGCAACTGCTTTGCGTTGAAGAGCGAAAACGTCTTGGTAGCACTGGTCTCGGCAGATTGACGATTAGCACCCTCCTCGACCTTGGTTTCCAAGATATCAGCCGCCTTCAGCAACATGTGGTATCGCTCGTCGACTGGAGTCCTCTTGAATGTCTTGAAGGCTTCACCGGCTGAGGCGATGGCGCGGGCAGCCAATTCGGGAGTGGCAGACTGTCCATGGTGCAGGACGCGTTCTTCCGCAGCAACGTAAACAGGGATGTTTCTTGCCGAGGGCTGGATGACTGGCTTTCCGTCAATAAGGCAGGGAACGACCAGATTGCCAGCCTCGTCCTTATAAGTGGAAGCAGACATGTTTAATCAGTCAATGCAGCGGTCAACGTGTTTGTGTAGAACGGACTGTCACGGCCTCAGATGTAGTTTAGATGAATGTGATTTAGATTTATTTCAAGTTCCAAGAAGCGAAATGCAAGCCATATATAACTTCCACCGTTACCGTCATTACAACAGAGTCAACCACGTTGATGAAGATGGTCTTCGGAAGTCCGGTGTTCGGATCAGGAGTTATCCATTACCCAAATGGTCTTAGAAAACGCTGTTAAGGATTGGATTTGTCAATTACTCCAAACGGTCCTCGAAATCGTGCACAGAACATGCAATCATTGTTCGATACCATGCGGGTCAGTGTTCGCGTTTCTTAACTCCGTTATAACCAGCCATTTAAGGATGCGGACGGTGGTCGGCCGTTGTGAAATACCGGCCGGGCTTAATAATCCCGGCAGCAGGGGATGAGCAATGACGATTGGCAGATTGGCACATACTTAGACCTGATTTTGGCTGTGTTTTAAGCTTGCCAGGAAAACTTTACAGAGATTAAACCTATTGTGTATCAGCACTGGTGTAGAGTTCTTCGTGGGTGCCAGCTTTCCTTTTGTTGATGGCTCTACCCGCCAAGACATGCCATTCTCAACCACTGCGTCGTTATGCTACCTGCTGAACAAACCATCTTATGGATTCTGCCAATGATCGTGAACGTTAGTACGTAGAAATACCAAGGAAGCCAGCTCCAAGGCCTAAAAGTCTAGGCACCGTTGAAAGTAGAAGCAGCCACGTCGAAAGCAACGGCCAAGAGAACAGTCCTGATTCTCGTATGAAACTCGTTTCAGAATCAGATTTCACTCGATTCGCATCGATCGACAGCAAGAATCGTTCAATGTAGTTTCCATATGCTCATGAGTAGTCTAGTATATAGATATAGATATATGTGTGAACGTAAACCCGCAAGCTAATTATGTTCGCTCAGGACGCCCGAAACGCTATATCAGGGTAAAAATAGAAGAAATCAATATGCCACATTATAAATACAACTGCATCACCGCTCGTAAAATAAAATGCGTGTCCATAAACCATTAAAACGCCGTGTCAAAGTAGATTTTCGCTCTCTCCGGGATCGAGCCAACCCCCCGGCTAACCGTGATGGTAGAGGCCTCCGATCCTGCGATCAGCGTTGTTGATCCCGTCATCCTGATTAGGGCCATGAATAGGGCTGTAAGGCCCCCGCTCGATATGGATGCTCCTCGCCGCGTTCTGCATGATGGTCAAGCCTCTCCTCAAGGTCATGCCGCGCTTCGGGGCTGGACCTGAGGCTGGGATTGGGGGCGGCCCGGCGGGCATCTGCACGGCAGAACCTCCGTAATACGTGGTATCGTCATGCTGGCCGGGGTAGTAACCGGGGTAGCCGGCGGTAGGGGCCTGGGAAGTGGCGGTGGGATCGTAGGGAGCAGCCTGCGAGCCAATGTTGTCTGAGTAGCCGCCTGCTGCGTAGCTGGCGTTGGGATCGTAAGCGGCGGTCGGTGCCATGCCCTGGGCTTGGTGGTTTGGTGCCCGGGAGGGTTCCATGCCTGGCTTCTGGCTCATCTCGATGTCCTGGAGCTCGGATCGTTTGATGTAGATTCGGGGAGGGTGTGGCAGATGAGTGACGATGAGGACGATGAAGTACACAATCGTGATCGCAGGTAGCTGCCAAGGCGTGAGAAGGAAGGTGGTGAGGTGTCTGACGTTGGTGTGAAGGACTGGCACAAGTCCGAGACCAATGCCCATGAGGAAGACGACGATGACTCGGAACATGTTGAAGATTGACCATCCCTTTTGCTTGGAGAGTAGATGCATGGTCATGAGGAAAATGAGCACAATACCAGCGCTGACGAACAAGTACGTGAACTGTTCGCAACCAAGTCAGTTGGGTCCGCTGCCAGAAGCAAATAAAAAGGAATGGGATGGGTACTCACAACCAGCTCCTGTCGCTCCTGGGTCTGCCGGATTGCGGCTATCTCAGCATCCTGCCAGTTCATAGAGGTTGCCGTCTGCTTTTCCTTCTTACTGATGACGAGGTAGAACGCCTTGCTGATCGAATTGAAAACCGAAGTCGTGATGGAAAGCACGCTGTCAATCCAAGTTTGGTAGTCTTCGCTCTCCCTGCCCTCCACCCAGAGAGAGTCAGACAGTGAGGAGATGTTCTTGAAAACTTCTTCCATTCCCTTGATATCCTTGCTACCCTCCTCCACATCGGCGCCATACTTCTTCATGATATCAAAGGCTGTGTCGTGGAGAGCTTCGGCGACATCGGATGATTTGACAGGTGTTTCGTCAATGATGGCTTCCACAGCCTTTAAGAGTTTGTTGCCGGCTTCATTATACGACTCAGTAGCTCGCCACCAAATTCCCCACTGACCACCGCCCTCGGCCAGGAGAACCAACGCGGCGTGGAACGGTAAGTGGATGAGTGTCCAGAAAGCTTGGCGGATGGGTGCGATGTGATTGTGGTGGTGCATCCAGTCGAAGTACAGCTGGAAGGTGATGTACAGGATGGCGGCAGAACAGATCAAAATACCGATCAAAGCAGGGGCTAGGTAAACAGGTCAGCTACTGCCTCCCAACGGGGGAAGCAAAAGACGCGTCTTGACTAGGTCATCACTTACACCAGGAGGTGGAGATGCCCTTCAGATAGGTATACTCGACAATCTTTGTCACATTCTTCAAGAGGATGATGACACCTTCACCGATGATGATGAGCGTCAAGAGGTTGAGTCGCTCGTTGAAGTGAGTTCCTTCAAAACTGAGGGTCTTGGAAATGGTCGCGTGAACAACGATGGAGAGGAGCTCCATCAAACCAATACCGTACCACACATACAACAGCTGCTGGTCCTCCTTCTTGTTCGAGACGATACCGGCAATGAGGTATGCGATAAATGGCAGGATGTGGAGGAGAACAGCGACAATGAGTGGCTTTCGGCTCCTACGGTGGTGGCGAGCATGGAACAGAATCAAGCTGTACTGGAGAGCGAGTACCAGTCTTGATAGGGCCAGGAAGAGAGCTACATCATACTGTCAGCATCGGGCCGGTCCCCTTTCACATCCAGCACTTGGGGTGCGTAGAACATGATTCTTACAAGTGGCCTTGATAATAGGTCGAATCAGGGACTTTGAGTCAAAGGCAACACCAACAACGGCGAACCCAACCATGACGGCCAGGTGGCAGGCACGGCAGAGTCGTGGCAGAATGCCATCCTGACCAAAACGAGCGTCGAAAACTGTGGTGATGAACCAGGTGTTCCAGAGCAGCCTGGGCATGATTAGCTGGGTTCATGCGACCGTGCCAAATTGGGTGGCTGAGAACGAGTATGTCGGTGAAAAGAAAATCAGTGATCGAGTCACCACTTACAAGAAGAATCCCACGAATGATACCAGTGTCCCTAACGTTGTGATGGGATGCACTGTGGCAAAGACTGTGAGATTGGCGACGAACCACAAGTCGTAGAACAGCTGAACGAACGTGTCAGTGAGTGAACGAGGCCGCGGCAGCCAGCATGTTGATTTCTATTTAATTACCTCAGATGTCGATGCAGCTTCTCGCTAAATTGCCTCATAGTTAGCCGTCTGTCATTCTCATTGAGTTTGGCGATATCAAATGGCTCATGAGCGGCACCAGTCGTGCAGCAGAGGGAAAAATCCAGACGTACCTTTGCGAACTGCAGGGGTGACTCCTCGTCATCGTCAACTGGCTTCAGGTTGGCCGACTCGACAGAGGAGCTGTGATGGTGCTGGTGCTCGGCGCCGGACCCGATCAGATGCTCATCGTCCTCCTCGCCATGCGTCTTCAGCGGGTTGTTGAAGAGACTCAATCGCGATGCGGCCATGCGCAAGGTGCCCGTCTTCTTGAGCTTGTGGCCTGCGGGGCCATCCTCGTGGTCGCTGCCCGCCATTGTCGCTGCTTCAGGGTGAAGGGAGTGAGTGTTCAGTCCAGCCCAGATGGCCTCGTGGTATTGCCCAGGATCAAACGATGCGAGACAACGCTCTGAGGAACTAAAGAGACCCGGGAGAAAACAGAAAAAAGGCGGCAATGGCCAAGAAATGTATGAGGCGCGTCGGTAGTGTAAATATGTTCTCACCTCAGCACCAATCTCGTTTGCTAGGCTACTGCAGCATCCCGGCAACATCTGCCGTCCAAGTGCCTGGACACACCCGCATGAGAAGCCACAGCAGCAGGGGACAGGCAAAGGGACCGGTCTAGCTCTGGGCTGGGCTGAGCTGGGGAGAGAGACCTGTGCGTGGAGCCTGAAGTCAAGCCCAATACCAGCAGACGGATTGAAATCTGCTCTGCCACGCACCAGCTGGTGGAACCTGCCAAGCCTCACGTCAATTGTTGGAGAGAATAGTGCCTGTTTGTTTCCTGACCAGAGAAGCTGTGGCACGCGGCTGTACAACCGAGCTGGAGAGGCTAGAGTCAGTCAGGCCTGTGCCGTGTCCCGACTGTATCACAGAGTGGCGAGCGCCATATCCCCGAGAAGCAATAGTCAGAGCACTGGCCAAGGCATTTTTGGGGTCAGCCGAGAGACCAGTGGATTCGTAGCTTCAACCTAAAGACCACTAAGGTCTGATGCCCTCACCCATCCCAAGTCAGCCCTACCATATCCTCGCCTTAACTTACGATGCCCGGCTCTTTGTTCCATGTTTCGGGGAGACACGTACTGCGGTGAATCATTAATCAGCGGAGGAGGGAGCTGTGTCCCTGCAAGTGAAGCATGTCAGTGTCAGCAATGGTCCCACCGGTGTACGAATACTTCATGCCTCCAGACCATCTGGCCCTAAGCTGCAGTATTGATGGTCTGGGCTCTTTAGCGTTCAGCCCCCGGCAGCTCGTCTGAAGAGGGAAAAGCTGTCGGGGGGTACTCAGGCTGGGGCTATGTGGTTGGTTTCTATTATTACCACAGGGCTTGAGCACGTATCATTTCCTCCACCAGATACAGGGCTGGGAATTAGTAACTAACTAATTAGTTACTAATTAGTAACTAAGG